GCCTTGTCTCCTAAAGGATAACTTTTAAAGGTTGCAAGTTGTAGTAGAGAGGAGAGAATACCATGCTATACACTAAGTAAAATCTGTAAGAATACGCACCAGTATGTCTACTCAGGACTTCAAATGATTTTAATTTTCCAGCCTGCTTTTCTGCATCTTCTAATTACAATAGCATATGTTATTTTTGTAATTAAAATAAGGTAACAGGAAAGGTAGAATTTAAGAGGGACTCAGTAATGTGGACAAAGGAAAACATTTTGATTAAGTGCAAATTAAAATGTTTGATTTTATATTATAGCAGATGAAAGAAAAATATAAATGAAAACAGGAGAGAAATTAGTAAAGCTATGGTTCAAGCTAAAGAAATTATAATACATCTTAAGAAAAGGTTTTATCAGTTATATTCACTTGGGCCAATAGGTCTAGATGTGAGTTTTTACTTTTTGTCCTCTCCCTTTGAAATTGTAATTATTATGTAGTCACGTCTCTTAATTGCTGTTTATCTTTTTACTTCAAAAGCTGCTTCTGGAGTGGATTGTCTACTTTTATCAAGAATATTGTAATCTGGATAGCTAGTGCTGTGGCCTGGGGCCTGTTACTTTGTAACCAATTAAAACCCAAAGACTATGCATAGACACATTTATTTCTGTAAGATTCTGTGATTTGCTTTCTCGGACATATACCTTCTTGTTGTTCTTAGAGTATGAATTCTGACAATCAGAATTCTATTTACCACAGTACATTGTATGCCCATGTTTCTTAATGATGATTTTTTAAGCAAATTAAGCTGTGAATAGGCAAATGAGAGGGCAAAGTCTAGTTGCCTTATGATACCTACTAATCTTGTAGGAATTGTCAAGTGCCAGTAGAATTATATTAAATGATAATTATCTCCTCTATTATGAAATCTTATTGTAGGTAAAATTAGCAAAGGGAAATGATGGCTTTTCCACCTTGCTGCCCCTTATGAGATACTGTTTGATCATGGCTCTTCCCTGCATTCTGCATTAGGCTTATTCCTGGCCCTTTTCTTACACCATCAGAACTACTTCTTCATCCTACTCCCACAGTAAGGTGGCTAAGTCACTCACTGAGTCAACCAGGGCATGTGTGATTTAGGGTTACAGTTCCAGTGCCTATATTTTTTTAAATATTATTGTATTTATTGGGGGCCCTCATGTTTAATGGGAGCCTCTTGCCTCACAAGTGGTGTAACTAAGTGGACAGCCCCAGACAGAAGATACCTTGCAAGAGAGAGCCCTATTCACCTCCCTTCAGGTAACTCTAGGCAAGCAGCTTTGTTGGAGACCAAATCCTATGTGCGTTTCTACTCTCCGTGTGTGTGCCCCTCCACCTTGTGTGTGTGTGTGCCCCTGATAGGAACTTTACACCCTCCCGGGGACATTCTGGCCATGCCCTACCTTATCTAGCTAGACCAGCCTAGGTTAGGTAACCTAGCAACCGGGAAAGTCCCTGCTCATCCCTGCCTGCATAAAAGCTGCTGTGTGAGAAATAAAAATTGTCAAATTTTGACCACTAAAAGAGCTCTGTCTGGTTCCTGTCTTTCTGTGTCGTTCCCGTTCCCGATCGGGGTGCTCCCCTTCTCGAGCCCTACTAATAACGAACCCCGCTGGCCGGGGCACAGCTTCTTCAACCCTGTTGCTCGCAAGAATCCAGTGTACTGTAGCTCCATAGACAGAGTAAAAACTGTTTTCGGACTTTCTGTGAAATCACAGTCTCCCATTCTTAACCCACAAATTGTGATGAAAACCACAATGGAAAGTAAAGCTGATAACATTCAGAAATTTCTATTCTGTTTCCTTACCCCTCTTTTAATCTTGAGCCACTTGATGGTTTCCTATGATAAAAGCAAACAAAAACTTGATTGGGCTTAAAAAGTCTATTTCAGTGAGCAGTAGAGGCATTAGAAGAGGCTATCTATTCTGTCCTCCTTTTATACCCTGAGAATATAAAGGAAACATTCTTCAAAATAACTTCATAGATGCACTGTTCATTTTTGAACTTTGTTTTCCCATTTGCAAAAAGTGCAAATAATAACACTTATGAAATTAGGAAGTTAAGTGACATCAGCATGCAGAGTATCTGGCATGGTGCCAAGAACCTAAGTAGGAACTCAATAAATGTAATCTCTTGTCTGGATTCTTATGAACTAGCCTACTAAATGGGTGAGAAAATTAGCGACAGTTTCATGGAAAATACAATTTTCAATGTGTCCTTCAAGATCAAGCATGAGTAGTACGGGGTAATAAATGAGAGGAACGTGTTTATGCAGTGTTTGAGTGTTAAATGCAGCAGATAGGTCCTCTTGGAATGAGCAGAGCCTGTGTGTCCAGCTGCCATGCCAGTTTCCTTCTTATTTCTTCAATGTTATAATAGCAAATATTTAAAATGAAGAATGCTTTGTTACACACACACACACACACACACACACACACACACACACACACACACACACACACATATATATATATATACTGGATGCCCCAAGATAGTTCTCTCTTGGCTTATTGTGACCCAGGCAATCCAAAAGGTTAGACATCCCTGGACTGCAGACGGGAAGCATGGAAAACCATACAGTGCATCTTGCTTAAGTCTAGACAGAGTATAGGGAAGGAGGAGTGAACATCAGAGGCAAACCTCAGCAGAGTTATTGACTGATCAGGTTCAGGGATGACTGATTTGATGCTGTCTCAAAGATCCTGAGCTTGGTGGAAGGATTGGAAAGTGTGTGTAACCATACCGGGTGTGGCACCACATGCCTGTAATCCTAGCATTCTGGGAAGAAGATGCCTCAGGCTCAGTCCTTAATAAGACCACTCTCAATGTAAAAGTAAAGAAACTGGGTATGTAGACCAGTGCAGAGGCCCTAGGTTCAATCCCTAGTACCACACCCCACACACACAATAGGAGCAGAAACAAACTGAGAGGAAGAACTTGGCATCATGAAAGGAGGTTCACTGGTTACAATTGTACGGCCAGTTATCCCAAGGAAAGGGAGGATTGGGGATCAAATGTTAAACATGACAGGAATATTCAGTAAAGAAGAAGGGTGAGGAGGCTGAATTGGACCCCAGGAATAAGTTCACGCCGGGCAGTACCAGGCTCCACAGGCCGAGAGAGGTACACCTGGCATAGATGTGGAAGTGAGGACTAATGACCCTTGTAGCAAAGATCAGAGAGAGCCAAGAGCAGAGGAGGGGTGAGAGGAATTGAGTGGCAGTGCTGCCAAGAGCTTTTTCTCTTTCCCTGCTCCCACATTTCCATCTATTCCCATCTCCCTTATCATTAAATGTTAAAAGCAGAACCAAGACAGTGAAGATCATCCCTGTAGTTTCTCCTAAATGTCCTTCTGGTTGATTGACAAAAGACCCTGAATTCTGAGACTTCAGATATAGTCTCTTAATCCCTGCAACTTTCAATCCCCCTTCTGAATTGGAGTTATTCCAACATTTACCTCTGCTTTTGGAAAAGTATTTGGCAGGGATACAATCTAGAATTGCATTCAGTGAAAACTTGTGCAAATGAGAGAATGCCAGTAAATACCAAGCTCAAAAGCCAGGTAGATAAGTGGTTGCTGAAAGGTAGTCTTTAAAACACTGGTTGTTATGATTTGTGCATTCTAAAAAATATTTGTAAGTTTAGTATGTTAATATTGTTATAAATAATCAGAATCTCTACAGGGGATTGAAGTGTTCATACAGCATCATGCCTTTTGGGTGTAACTGTTATTTGAACCTTAAATTATCTTTAATGCTTACTCAGTAATCATTTGGCTACATGAATACACAGAGTAAAAATGGGGAAAATTAACCAGAGGGAAAGGTGACTATGACCATTAATTTCTCCAGACAAATATATTTCAGCTGATTTCAGTGCATAAAAGAGAAATCTACAATATTCAGGTGGTTCAGAATATTCTGTAGACACTTACATTTCTTAAGACTTTTAAAGCTCAGTTCTCAAAATCAATCCCAACAAAAGTTGTAGATGAGCAAATGTGGAATTTTTAAGTTAATTTGTAAGGAATTAGAATTTTATAATTTACCATGTATAAATGAGGAAACTTGAGTTTCATATACATATGAAGTAAGGTATCTCTATTTCCTAAAGTTTGACTTCGGCTTTTAGGAAAATTTTTGAAATATTTTCATAGTGCGCCTCCTCCCCACACTTATTGATGACAGTGCTTTTCCTCCAGGTCTACACTATTAAAGGGTACAGGTTCAGTGTGTATATTTAAAATATACTGTTACTGCATTTGGCAGTGCACTAAATTTTAATGTTCTGCATGTTTTCCATCTCCTCCCACTTCTGAAACACATTAAAGAATTTGAATTTGAACATATTTCTCGTACATACCCTCATAGTTAATAATCCCTAGTTCATTGTTTTATCTTCTCATTTATCCATTTCTTACACCTCCACACAGCTTAGTATACTGTACAGTTATTACGGAGTTAAAATTGTGTTAATATGTCTATAAATAATGGTAAACGCTTTTAGTTAAAAAAATATTTTATACTATTCCACCATCCTTCCATTATGGTCACATTCGACAGCTGTGCAGCTCTATCTGTAGAACCAAAATGAATATAATAACACAAACATTTTTTAAAAGCTATGAGGGTCATAGAACTTTAGTAATTATTCAGCCTTATATTTGGCTTTGTATTTGACCACAGACATTGTGATACTAGAAAAAAATATTTTATAAAGGTCATATTCCTTGTTTGTGTTCCAAGATTATCAGGTAAGTGCCTCTTCTTCAAAGTAAAGCATCAAACTAATCCAAAGATTCAAAGGGAAGTTTGGCGGTGTCCTCTTTTTAGGTTAATTTTTTTGAAATTCCCATTGCCTGCCCCTTAGTAAAGAACATTTTGTACTTTAAAGTTTGCAGATGTTTGAAAAGTGTATGTATGTGTTCTTTGTATTTAGACATTAATACAAGTTCCATATTGTTTTTTCTTTTGCTTCTTTAGATATGGGAAAATAGTCTCCACAAAGGCAATTTTGGATAAGACAACAAACAAATGCAAAGGTATGTTTTTATGAGCTGATTATTTGCTAAATCATAGCCTTAGACAAATGCAAATGATGGAATTTTAAACCTAATCTTCGGTTTCAAAATTACTCCCATTTCATTGAAAACCAAATCTTAACACATTATCCAGTTTCTGTCTTGCACAATATCATCATATTGCTTACATTTGTTTTGTCTCTAGTTGAATTTTGGCTGGAAACCCGACAGCTACTAGCCGTTTGCCAGAAATCCAACTTTGGCACGAGTAGAGTTAACATGCAAAATACTAGTTGGCATTTATCCCTGCTTTTAAAGGAAGAGTAGAGTTAGAAAATAGCTTTTCTTTCCTGAGCCTGAGGAGATTAGAGCTGCTTACTGAAGACCATTGGACTGTAGTAAAGAACTGAAAAGATTACATATTGTGCAAATTGGCTCTATTAATTAGAATAGAGTAGTTTTAAGCAGTACTTAATTACATGTTTCAATACTCCCAATTGTTTTCTGCTGAATGCCTGTTGACAATATTGGCAGCAAGGAGGAGAGAACCATTTTCACTGACCAAATTTGTAATAGGGAGGGGAGGTCATGTGCCCCTTTGAAATATGCTACTGCATTAACTTGATGCGCTGACCTTCAGTTTTCTGTGTAATTAGGATGAGCTCATCCAGCTCCATGAGCTGGAAGAGGAGGCGTCTACAGTAGGCAGCAGGATGCTCTGCAGTTCTGACTTTTAATGATCTAGCATCTTCACAATAGGCATGTGATTTCTAGGAAAAGGGAAGAATGGAGTCAGTCAGCTGACTTTGAATCTAACTACTGAACCCATGAATTGAAATAAAGTAGACAAGACTAGGCAGAGAGAGAAGGCAAATCTCCTTATTAATTAGACCCCAGTTTTTCAAGTACTGGGGTAGTGGCTTAACACAATCTGAAAAAGGCAACAAACATGAATGAACCCTATGGTAGGGCCTCTCCTTGTGAGCCAGCCATTTCCTTTAATCTAGACTTGAAGTGGTTCATTGTATTTCTGTCTCTTCTTCAAAGCGCCCAGATTTAAAGGAACTATTGTGGCAAGTATCTAAGCCCATGTTTAATCAACATGGCACATTAAGGCAATTTTGCCTTGGGACAGTCAATAGTGTGTGCTTTATGTAGAGTGGTAGCCAATAAATATTTAAAATGAATTAAACTAGAGAGAAAATTGTAGGCTGAAATGCATGCACTTAGTTGCCAAGATTCATCTTATTTAACATTTATAAATTATTTGGGAGCAGAGACAGAGAAAAAAAGTCTTTTGGTTTTATACAGAAAAATAGACTCTTGCAGACATAAAATAGAAAGTTGATCTCAAACAGTAGTTTCAAACCAAGGGAGGCATCCCAGTAGAAAAGTGGTTTTAGCCTTAGCCTTACCCTAATTCCCCTCCTTTTTTTCCCCTACCCCAAGAGAAATCCTTCATAGCGGCTCAGTTTGCTAAAAAGCAGAGCTACCTTCATTAAGTGAGGAGGAGGACCAGAGTTCCCCCAGTTGAATTCCACACTCCTCAGTGAAAACCGCTATTGTACATTCTTCTCCAGTGTAACATATTATCTAACTTTACCATGTTTTGTTATGAAATACTCCTGTGTTTCCTAGTAGCAAAAGCAAAAACAGAAAACATAATTATTCACATGATTCAGTCATTATACTGTGGGAAGCAAGATTAATATAACTATTCCTGGTCCTAGAACCTGCCAGGAATTCTCCTTGGAAATTTAGGGAGAGAATGCTATCTTAGTGAACCCTACCTTAAAGACGCCTTTGTGCATACTTATATAGTTAAATCCATAGACTCTACATAATGCATATTTTATATGGTCTTTTTTTTCCCCATTAAGTTAATTGGTACATTTAAAGCAAACAGCACAGTTACATTTATCATTGGGATCTTGTACCTTTTTATGATATGTCTTGGATATATTGTCTTACATTTATTTTAATATTACATAGACAATATTAACAAGCTTAAAATTCTGTGCTTACCTGTTATGTTGTCTTCAGCAAATGGTTATGAAATGTTACAATATAATAGGCTTCAGCAATGACCAGAAAAGGACATAAACAACTAGAATACAACAGTTATGTATTTCTCTTAATAAAGAAATAACAGATAAAAGAATGCTCAGATTCCCAGAGTGGATCATAGCATCAAGTACAATAACATAATTGAGATCTGCTTACTGTGACTTATTAACAATAGCAAAGGTGGTGGGAAAAGTTTAAACATCTGCCAGTAGAGCTATGTCACTTCTGTGTGAGTATCTGTTCACCTGCATACTGTAAGAGTGAGGTGGAGTTTGTGTGCCTCTGTATCCGTAGAGTATTGCTTATTACCATTAACAGCAGCTTTCTAAATAGCACCCCAGACATGTTTAACCTGATTTTTTAAACCAGGTGAATAGCATTCTCTGCATTGGTCTGGATCATCCCTCTTCTTTTTCTGCCCAATCTGGCTGTTTCTCTGCTGTCCAAATGAAATTAAGTTTTATTTTAGTCCAATTCCAACTCATGCAAGGAAGCTGCTTCTTGCTTCAGGTTTAACATTCATCTTTCCTAAAACATGTATTTCTGTAATCAGTAATCTCTTTCATTATAACTTAGGCTGTTACCTGGAAATATTTTTAGTATTAATGCTACAAAACTGACTGGACTGTTTCAGAGATCTTGAGTTTGACTTTGTTGTTATATATTTGTCTGTTTTGACACTATTGCCTTATTATCTATATTACTGTTTCTTCATAATATCTGGAAATCAGTGATAGGGCTGGCTCCTCTTCTGTACAATCTCCAAATGGTACTTTTCTTTTTCAAAACATACGTACTCATTTAAAATTAATTTTATAATAGTGATTTTATTTTTTTAAAAAACCTGATGTTTTGAGTGAGACCCTGTTCCTTTAAACAGTGTATTAAATACAGCAACCTTTTCTTGGTAAGTTGAGTTATCACACTGAAAAATCTGTGATTGCCTGTTTTACTATAATGATGCTTACAGAATCTGTTGAGATTCATGGGGCTGTTTGCACTTACACTGTGTAAATTCTGCTCTTTGTATAGTTTTTCAGTTATATGACTTGTTACTAGTTTCCACTACCAGATGCCATCTATGTCCTTGTTTTGCCACCCTTTCCTCACCTCAGGCCCTTTTGTCCTAATTCCTGTTTTGATTTGTTGTGACCTGAGAAAACAGATAACCAGCTCATTAAAAATGTTTGGGAAACTAAGCCATAGCTTCTCTTAGGTGGTTGTTTTGTTATATTACATTTTATTTTCAGACTTTAGGTCATGAACTGCCCAAATAACTATTCTGAGTATCTGGAGAAATTTTATTTCCTTTCTTCCTTAGTTTGAAGGAACATGATGAGCTGCATTTTAGGTAAATGAGCACACTTGAGCAGGCACTACAAGTTAGATTGTTCTCTATTTTAGACATGTAATGGTCATATGTATTTTAATTTTGAAAAGTAAGCTTTAGTCTACCAAATGAGCATTAATTTTTGTTTCTTTCATTTGTCAGCTTGGTAGGATGGCTTCATTATCATTACTGAATCATCAAAAACAGTATTTCTCTCTCTCTCAAATTGTTTCCTATTCCCACCACCACCTTGTTTTAATCCTTGGTTGGCAGTGTAGTTGTCATTGTTTTTCCTAGTAACTGCAGGACACCTGAGAAGATCTTGGAATAGGAAAAAGTTGCTCTCTCTCCTCACCCCTCTCATCCCCACTTCGAAGGGAAGCTCATCCAGCCAGGGACAGATGACAAGGAAGAAGACCCGAGAAAGCCACTGGATGGCAGCTGTGAACACCCGAGCTCTGTGGGGACATTTTCATTTCTGTAGCCTGAAGCACAAACCGAGTGAAATTCTTTTAGCCTTTACATCATCGTAAAGGAATGGTGTAAAACGAAGTGTATTTTGCTCTTCAGGTTATGGTTTTGTCGACTTCGACAGTCCTGCAGCAGCTCAGAAAGCCGTGTCAGCCCTGAAGGCTAGTGGAGTTCAAGCTCAGATGGCAAAGGTGAGTAGAAAGCTTTACTTCTGGAGCCTGACCCAGTCACTCTTCTAACCCCATCTGCGGTTGCCACTCATGCCCACCAGCCACCGTTCCTCTGGACCGTGGTCCTGCGCCTCTGAAAATGCAACAGTAGTGACTGTGACAAAGACTTATTTATTCCTCATAGTTTAATGTGTGAAGAATTTAAAACTGTATACAGTTTACATAGTAAATTACATAGCCACATAAACAAGTGGAAAAGTAGCATGATTTTTTTCTCAGATAATCAGGTATGTGTAAGTCTAAGAACTGGACTGTATTCTAAAAAATAATTTTTAAAATCCAGCTTAGACAGAATTTAAAAAGTAAGTGTGTACAGCACAGCTTTTTTTTTTCTTTTTCTTTTTTAATAGTGGGGATTGAATCCAAGGTCTCACACATGCTAGTCAAGCTCTCTACCACTGAGCTGCATCCCCAATCTCACCCTCTTCTTTTAAATTTATAATTTGAGACTAGATTTCATTCAGTTGTCCAAACTGACCTGAAACTCACAATCCTACTGACCCAGCCTCCCATATAGCTGGGGTTACAGGCAAGCACCATCTTACCTGACTAGTGTGGCATATTTGGAAGGAATATGTGACTGTCACATACATTGATTTACACAAACAAATGCGTAGTTTATAGATGTCATTTCCCCCTGTGCAACAGAAATCTTAATGGAATGTAAGTATACCCCTTAGCAGTTTTATAAGGACTTTATTCAAGATTTGTTTCTGACGAACTTTTGACATTCCAAATAAGGAGTATTTCTGAAAAATTCTCTAGGTAAGGTATATGCCTGACTGTTCAAGTATTATAAATGGATACCATAAGTTTTATACTTAATATGTATTTTAGCACAGTATATGTGGATATTAACTACTCCAAGACGTAATATTTTCCTTAAACATTTTGTCCTATGATAGTTTCCCTCTAAGATTTTTATCTAATATCCAGAATATCATAATTTAGGAATGTGAATGAAGTTGGCCAGCCAGTCATTGTTTTTCTTTTCACTTCAGGTTTATCATTAACTTAGACAGCTTAAGCTGCCCATTCTTTTTCAAAAGTTATGATGCCTGAAATAGATTTGATGAACTCAGAGAAGCTGGCCTTGCATGATCTAAGTCCAGTGCAGTCATAACTCTAAATCTGAAGGGACCTCAGATTGTGCACTTCCAGCCCACTTCCAAATGGGAATGATCTTTTTAGGAAAAAGAACGGAGATTCAAGAGAATAACCCTTGAATTGCCATACATCTCTCAAGTGTTTATGTTGTGTGCTAGATGTTCCATTTTATGCTAAACAGATCTGGAATACATCAACTAAATGTTCCTTATGTTCCGTAAGCTGAGATTATATCCTAATATCTACTACCTATAGTGCACTTGTGAAGATATTTACATAACTGTGGAGATGTTTCCCCATCTTTGGTTCTTCAGTAGCTATGGGAAATATTTTCAAGGCTGAAACTTGGCAGTTGACTATTTGGAGTATTCTTTTCAAATAAGCATAATTTTATATTATTTGGCTTCATGAAATACAGAGGACAATAATTTTATACTCTCCTCTGCTACTTGTAAATAGCAGTACATGATCATTTCCTACAGAGCATTCATATATAGATAATAAGGTTTATGGAAAGTAAAGAACTCTATGAAGAGATAAACTACATACTAAGACCTAAATCTTACCAGCTTAGGTATTACCTGCTAAGGGCTATTGAGAACATGTTTGAAGCTACCAGGATAGAGATTTGCTTAGAATAAAAGAATCAACATAAAGATTTCAATAATTAATAAATGAGATCAGTTTTCTAATGTAATTCATGCCTTACAATGATTTTGAAGGTTCACATTAAATTGGACTCTGTATTTTCTTAAATTCCAGCCTGCAGGTTAAGCAGGAATCTGTAAATTGCAAACATTGTGTTTTTTCAGATTATTTGTCTCTCATATAGAGATTATTTGTCTCATACTGAAAAACAGTGAGATTTTAAGTAAATAGTTAATATATTCTGCATAGCAGTTTGCAGAATGTTTAATTTAGCTCTGTCAACAGTGGGTGACCAGGAATTCTGTAAGCAGGACTCTTAGGACTCATTCAGAAAACCAGCGTCTTCTGCCCTCCACTCTGTCCATCCTGACTCATTCTGCCGAGCTCCTGCTTTCTCTTTGGGTAAAATCTAGGGCAGGTTCTATGACTTCTTCAGCCACTATTATTTCAAAAAGTCCCTTGCTTCTTTGATTTCACAAATTTTTGGTTGGTGTTTAGGGTTTCTTGTTTGGTTTGGTTTTGGTTTTGGTTTTGGTTTGGTTTGATCTTTTTTACATAGCTAATCTTCATGTAACATATATATCTCTCAATACATTTTTCAGCCACTTATGTCTGTATTTACATTATTTAACCTCAATATACTTTAAACAAGATGTTGTATGGAAAGAGCTTCAAGTTACAAGTACATTTCAGATATAGTGTATAGGATGTTGCAGTCATATGCAGAGTTTTTGGAAACTGCTGAGAGTCCACAGAAGGGATTGTGTCCTGGATGTTACTTGTGCATACCATAGCAATTAATTACCGATGACTATATTGAGTGTTTGGTGAACAGGATAGGACGCAGTATATTTAAGTTTTCCAACATAATTTATTATATGTATATATTCGCACAGATCTATTATGAATGTATTTATGTACATTTTAGGGATTTATAGGAAAACAATTTAGTCACACTTTAGAAGATTGGCTGGGGTTGTGACTGATGTGTAATACATTATTTTTTTCTCATTTAAAATAATTGAAAATATCTTATTAACATTTTGATGCTAAATACCTGCTTTTTAAGAATAGACTGTCAATAGTTTGGTGTACTTGTAATTTCAGTGTCTAATTCTATTTATTTAACAAAATTGTGAGTATTCATATAACAATAAAGCTTATCCCTTCCTCTAGGTCAGGTTAGCAAGCGTACAGTGGAGTGGGCTTGTTTCTTTTCTGTTTCCAAAGCATGTATTCTTCCCACTCTTCTTCCATCAGCTCCCTAGCTGTGGTTTTGCACCTCTCCAAGGCTGGAGCAGTGAAAAGGAAGAGAAATTTGTTGACCTGAAAATGGTGTAATAGGATGTTGAGTTATCTGGCCAGGCAGCAAGGTGATACAGTCTCTCATGAAATGCTGCAGCTATTTTCCTGAGCTTTATCTACAGTCCCCCCGCTTCAATCCCTTGAACAAAGAGAAATACTTGTCCTTGGGCTCACACTCTCACTTCCTGATAATGGAGTGGCCTGTCTTACCCCACTCTGCTGGGATCTCCCTGCCTCTGCCAGGTAATTTTCCTCCTAACATCATGCATGGCCAACTCTTCCTGTGTGGCCTTTTTCAGATCTACCTTTGCCAACCATCCCTAGTACAGGAGTTATTTCCCAACCACACTTATAGACCCCTTTAATTAGCCTTTCTCCTTTTAGACCACTCAGCTTTTGAGATGGACGTGAACCATTGTATCTAGAAAGCCCCATGAGACATGGATCAAGCTTCCTGACTGGTCTCTGGGATCCCCCATTACTTATCGTATTGAGAAGGCAGCAGCCAACATGCTGAGATTCAGAACATGCTGTATTTCTCATTCTCATTCTCATTCTCAGACTCTGCAGTCCCTTTAGACACAGGAGGTGGGTGGTCTGCTAACCATCCCAAGCCAGTTCTCAGCCAGCTCCTGGTAGACTCTCTTAGGTGGTCTGGTTTCCCACTTTGGAATGTGGGAGCACCTGGCACCCACTGTTTTGTGGCCTCTGCTGAAATAGAAAGAGGCCTTTTTTAATATAGTTCCCTGAACCCTTATCCAGGCTTCATTTCCAGTATGTGTAATACTAAGCAGAGTAGTACAGTAAGTATATACTTTTGAAGGAGTTTTTATAATGCATCTAGTCGAAGTGAGACTGGGTCTGGATTGGCACTATCTGACATGTCAACGGTGCTCTTTGAATGTCGGCTTCCAATAAGTTGATAGTGTGCACTGTTCAGAGACCTCCTTAGGCTTTATGCTGTAAATTGGCTAGGAGAGATGATCCTTTCCTTTGTCATCTGTGGGGAGGACCAGTATCCAGCTTCAGAGATGCTGACCATATGCCAACGTTTTGCAAGTACAGATCTCTTCAAGTCCTTGTAGAATGACTTAATTCTTATATCTTTAAAGTTACAAAATACATTTTAAATGCTACTGGATCTCTTGATCTCTACCATGAAATCATAGACTTAAACATCTGGATTTGGTTCAGCCTCCTTATGCTCATTGGATGAAGGAGCAGCTAGTCCTCATCTTTTGGGGAGATTATTTTTAAAGGAAGTTTAAGTGGAGCTCTTGTGGTTGGTTAGTAAAGGACTCATCACAGTCTACTTTCCACTAGTGAATTAATCCTACAATGTGCTGAAAATCCCACATATTAAACTCTTGCTTTATTAAGTTCAGAAAAATTTAAGGGGCATTCATTTGAGGATGGTAGAAATGTAATGTTGGACACTGGTTAACTGGGTTGCAAAAGGACTGCACAGGTATTCAAAGCTAAATTTCAGAACCGTTAGGGAAACGCATTAAAGGCCAGTAATTGTTCCTTATTCGTGTTTTAGTTTTGCCTTATTTGGTACCTGCCATAAGGAGGGTAATGTGTTTGTTTCATTGAATCAAATAAATCAATTAGGGGAGAGAAAATCTTTTAGACAATATTGAAAATATGAAAGGGACATTTTAAAGTTATGTCCATAGAGTTTCCCGATGAAATTTATCAAATAGGAATGGCCTTGGGCCTTTTGGAAAGCCTCTTTATGTTAACTTTGACAGATGTTTCATATGTGTGCATTTTCAAATAAAAGGTTCAGATTCTATAAAGAAAAAAGAAATGAAACTCAGATAACAAGATAAAAAATGTAAAATGTGAATCAACATTGAGAGCTGTTAACAGAGACACTTCTATAGGTCTTTGGTACCTAAGGCCTGCTGAGGGTCAAAAGATCTTTGGATGTATTTGGCTAGTAGCAAGCTAGTGCATTTTCCAATAAATACTCAGTCAAACAAGCAGGAATTTAATCTCCTCTCCACTCAGAGGTCCACCGTGCTCCAAGCAGTTTGCAGTCACATGCCGGTGAGCCGCTATCTGCTGGTTGGTGAACCTATTCAGTACAAGAGAAAACAGATGTCTGCTCTTCCTGCCAAGTCCCTTTCTGCATTTTAGGAACCATTCCACACGCACAGGGAGGTTTTTGTTAATTTCTTTCAGATGATGACTTGAGTGCTTTACACCATGCGGGACCTCTGAGCCCTGCTTTTCTACTCAAGTGAACATTAGTAGCCGTTTATCCCCTCTCATGGCCAATGTGGGATCTAGTTTTCCACTTGTTAGAGCAGCCCTTGAACTCTCTGTGCCTAGGGACATAAAGAAGCCTGATGGCCGCACTTTTGTTTGGACCACCTATAATTGATGGAATAACTTTTTCCAGACATAACAGCTTTTTCAGACAGAATAAAACAGGATTACCATTGTCACTGGTTTTTAAAGAAACTGAATTATCCTCATTGAAAAACACTACCAATGACTTCCAGGATTGTATGTCCCATTCACTATGAATGTATAATAATGAGAATGAATGGACACTTTGGGGACTAGATATTTTTGTGGCTAGTGCTACCAGTTTAGCATTTTTTCCCATTCCTTTTTGTTTTGTTTTTAACATTGAAGTTGTTACAACATTGTGAGTATTGTTTGTAGTACAGGTTGAGCAATTCGAAAAAAATAACATTACCTCTAATGGTCAACCCAATAAAGAAACCTGACAGGACTATTGCTATCAAAAACAAATGTTCTTTTTTAATTAAATGTTTACATATATTAGTCCACTGTATTAAAAAATGGTTCAAGAACTAAATTTCCTTCTAGATTCTGATTTTTAACAGTTTTCAAAATTTTTGTCTTCATTGGTAAACTTTCACATTGAATCAAAACCTTATAGAATGTGTAATTTTTTAAATATTTTAGAAACAGAAGCAGCTAAAACATCATCTAGAAAGTACTTAGTACCTACATTGTTATCTGCTTTAAAAAATAATTTATATGTAACAGTTATTCCTATGAGCCCTCTTAAATATTAGTCATTGAGGTCTTCATAATTATGACTTTAAAAGAAAAACCATAATATTTTAATACACATTTCTTATGTAATATTTTTCATGTCATACCTTTGCCTGGTGAGTATTTTAATAACCTTTAATTAAGGAGTTCCCAGGTTTATTCTGAATCTGACTAAGCATGATTCAGAAGTATTTCTAAGATAGAGTTGATTGTGTCACTCCCCTGCTACTGTGCCTCCAAAACCTTCCTACTTCTCAGGGTGTGGCTTTCAGACTGTGGTCCTCCTTCCTCGTGCTACTTCACTCATCTCTGAAGGGATGTGAAATCTCAAGATGTGGTTTATCTTCCTGAAGTATCAGTGTTGCTTGATGGTATTCGGTCAGCAACATTGTTTCTCTATTAAAAACAAATTTCAGTTGTTAAAGAATAGATTACAAAGTTTACGTGAACTCCCCACCCTTTTCTTCCTTTTCTTCTAGTTTTTTTTTTTTTGGGGGGGGTATGTTTTTGTTGTTGTTGTTGCATAAGATTTCCAGTAAATTTTGCAGTTCAGTCCAGGCAAGGCCTTTGCCTACAGACTTTTCTGGACACAGTTATTCTCCATACTGTTAGTAACTGATCAGTAAGAAAGTCTAAGCAGCGCTGACTAAAAAAACCAAACTCCTCAAACAGCCTTTCAAGTTGGTTTCAGCCTCTTGACCTCTGCTTGTTCCCTAAGTCCCATGTGCTCTGAACAAGGTATTTCCTCATCTCCCTATGACAGTCTTCCTCTCTCTGTTCTCCCATTGTGATTTGCACACCCCACCCTTCGCTATCTGTGTTTCTGTCTGTACTATTTAACTGTAAGTGGCTAAAAGTCAAGAATCAGGTCATAGTTGTTTTATAGCAACAGGTTGGGATGTACAAGATGTACTGGAAATGTCCTTGAGTTGAATGAGGCCCCAGGTCCCTTCAGGGACAACTTTAGGGAGAAAGGACCTTGTTTGTATTGGCTGATACAGGACCAGATTTCCATAGTGAAAAATACCTTTGTGCACTTTGAGGAAAGCTGTGGAGACTTGGAGTTAGGGCCCAATGAGACAGCTAATCTTAGGACCATGCAGTCAGCTGGGTGAAGCTAGCTAAGGAGCAAGTGAAGTGGAAATAGGGGGCTAAAAGACTCTCTCTTAATCTACCTCAGAGGAATTTGAAAACTTTCAGACCTAAAATGATTTTTTAGTGTGTTTCTCTTTATTTAGGAAGACTGTATTATTGTCTTATAACTATTAAACAAATCACTTGCTAATTTTCAGACATTAAAGATATATTTTACATAATTGACAATAAAAGGTTTTGCTAGATGTAAGGTAATCAGTGGTACCACACTGAACTTATCTAATTTCAGATAAAAGCAAAGATAGTTGTCATCTGTATTTAGCCTATGAATGGTTAGTATTCGATATTTAGCTTACTATTGGGCATCATAGAAAAGTTCAGTTTTTTCTTGGACCTTCCAGTGTCACCCTCCAGTGTGCTATGCCTTTGTGATAGATGTGGTTGCACACTGGCTTCCTTTGTGGCAGAGCCAGGAAGTTGTGGGACAGTACTTGTTGCTCATAGTTCTTGGTCTTTGATAACTTTGATTCTTGGAAATAACAGGGCATTTGCTGTTCTCTCTGCTAGATTGTTGTTTATTTATTTATGTATTTATTATAGTGCTGGGAGTCAAACCCAGGGCCTCAGACGTGCTAGGCAAGAGATCAACCTCTGAGCTACATTCCCCCAGCCAGCCACAGAATACTGGTTAAATCTGTCTTACCAGATAGCTGGTACAGTGGGTCAGGGTTCCATTTTATTTGCAGATTATATAAAAGGAAAATTTTCATTTGGGTGTAATTCGTACTAGGATATATTGCAAAGACTTTATACAGATTCAGACATGCATAATTGTCATATATATGTCTAAAGCACCATGTATTTCAGAAACCTGGAAGGTTGTAATGATTGATAGTCTGTTGCTGAAGGTTACCCCGTCAAGTAATGACTTTACAAACAGTGCTTACTGAAGAAATATCATTAGCTCTTATGTGTTTCAGTATGTAAAGATACATTTGGTTAATAAGATCAAAAGAAAGGCTGATTTTGAAATATGTACTAATCTTACAATTGCAGAGGTGAACTTGGACTTGATCAGATTATTTCATTTGTTAGGCAAGCTTTTCCTTGACAATTTGAATACTGTACTTTTCATAAATAAGTGTAGCAGTTACTAGTTCTTAGAAAGGTGAATCATTGGTTCTGGCTGACTCTGCCCCAGGAGAAGTTTGTATGGGAAATGATCTAAGGATTGCTTCTCAAAGTTTTATATCCGCAAGTGACCTAGATGTCTTATTAAAATGCAACTTCTGATTCTGTAGGTCTGAGGTAGGGCCTGAGATGCTGCATTTCTAATAAACTGCTATGTGATTCCAGTACTGTTGGCCCTTGGGTCACTCTTAGTGTAGCAAGGATTTTGCAAACCTGCCCTGCCAACTTACTGTCAAGTTCAGCTTTTCCAGTATTCTAAATTTGCTCTGCCCAGAGTTCATCATTTTATATGGCTTTGAGTTTCTTGTTTGGATTATTAGCAGTGCCCTTTTTTCTATTGATTATCAGTACTCAAAAGTAATATGGACTCTGCCATATGGCAGAGGAGGGCAGTTTGCACAAAGCTGGTACTGGACTTCACATGACTTGATCCAGAATCCTTTATCTGTAAACTGAATTATTAGCAGTAATAACCTCCTGTGCAGTAGTGTGACTAAAATGGGCTCCTAAAAGTAGCAGTGGAGGAGAAGTTGGTTATTTTTGGAAACACTGCAAACTACTGAGAGTTGTGGTTTCATGAGGGCATGCTTTCCAACTCAGTGGTGCCTGCCGGCATTGCCACTTTCACATCTGGGAGGAGCTCGGGAGGATCATGTCTGCCTGTGCGGACTGTCCAGGCTTCAAACACTGTCATCGAGTGTCCGGCATGACTTGGGTGTTCTGTAGATCCTGAGGTCTCGCTAGCTAGTACTGTGAAAGGTCTTGAACAAGGAGAGCTTCTGCATAAAAGTTGGTATGTTAATGTAAATATCGTTTCTTCATTTGGAAATTGATAAGACAATTTTATGTTTTACTTTAGCAACAGGAACAAGATCCTACCAACTTGTATATTTCTAATTTGCCACTTTCCATGGATGAGCAGGAACTTGAAAATATGCTCAAACCCTTTGGACAGGTTATTTCTACAAGAATACTACGTGATTCCAGTGGTACAAGTCGTGGTGTTGGCTTTGCCCGGTAAGCACACTGCCCTCTTCATTATATGTGACAATAATTCTGCCATCTTGGAAAATAAAAATTGGCCAACAAGAGAAAATTAAGCCAGGGTTATGGGATCTACTTGTATCATGAACTTAAACCATGTGAAGTTTACATGTAAAATTTTCCAAATATTTGTATGCTCATTAGGAGTCCTGAACCTGAGCACACTTAATTTTGGTTGGCTCATACCAAGAACCTACCATATGAGAAATACCTCTGAAAGCATGTGTCCTTATATTTGATTGATTGGGATGTCGTTAATGTCTTCAAAAATGATCACTGGTTTCCTAAATGTCATAGATAAATCAGTACATTTTTTTCTCATGAAATAGGAATTTGAATTGTCATCAGTAAAGTAAATTAGTTAAATATTTCTAACATTTGAAAAAATAAGACAAAGATATCACACCTAATCACTACATGAATTTAACAACTACTATTTTATAATTCTTGCTTCAGTTTTTTTAAAAGAAATAAATGTTCTAATTAATTTTTATGCCTTCTTTACCAGAAAAGATACTTCAGTGTAGTAGCTAATTTGGTTTCTAAAGAAAAAATGTTAAAAGAGTTTTGATGTGGGGCACAATTCTAATCCTAATGTCTATCTACAAAGCTGATTTTACATAATGCATTATTTAGGAGTTTATTAACACTGTGTAGTAAGAGATAGTGTCTGCATATTTTAAATTATTAACTTTGTTTTTGGAGGAAAACACAATGACATTTTACTTTCATACATATATGACAGTCACATCTTACACAGACCTATGATATCAACAAAGTATTATTACATGTTAGTATCATAACAAGGGTCTTTTCCATTGTAACCTCACTGCCAAATCAAGGCAAGGTTCCTACTTGGTTCTTCTGGCTTTCAGTCTACTGCTTGGATAGGTTAGACAGTTTCATAATAAAACTAAAATAACCTATCAGTCCTAGTCACAAAGGCCAGCATCTCCGCCATCTACTTTGTTGGCTAAAAGAATCCAGGAGGTAGGCTGGGGATTTAGCTCAGTAGTGCCACCACTGCCAGCCTTGCAACTGCAAGGACCCAAGCTCAATCCAGGAGACATTGAATGGTTTTGACATCTCATCACTTCTGTGGATGTCCTGAAAGCAGATCAAGTGTGCGATTTCTGTACCCAAATGCAGAACTCAGTTAAATCTGTTGTTTATAAAACTAGCACTATCCATTAAGATTTACATGTGCCAGGGATTTAGCTCAGTGGTTCCACCACCTGCCTCACAAGCACAAGGTCCCAAGTTTGATCCCTAAAAAAGACTTACGTGTGACTCTCCGGGTGTAGTACATTTTTAATAATTGCTTAGTGTTTTTTTTTTCCATTAAGGAAAACTGAATTCAAGTAATCTAAATCCTCAGATATGTTTCTCAAATCTTTTTAACCACCAGCAGATATAAAATTAGCTGTAAAGTTACGTTCCAGCCTTTAATTTCTCCTTCAAAGTTAAAATGACTAGGAAGGTACATAATTGACTTCACAAATTTAATTTTAAACCTGACATGAATGCAAAAAAAAACATACAAGGTACATCGTGTGATTTTTTAGTAACTTTTCCCATAACTCTTCAGTCTGTCATTTTGTAAATTCATAAAAAGAAAGAATATCTTTAAAATGACCAATATCCTAGCAAGTAGGAAATGCACTCATATATTAAACTGTTGTTTTTAACTCAGTACCACAAGAAAGCAATTATGAATTGATTTTGATTTTCCAACATTAGACTAAAATTGTGCTTATATGCTTAGTATTAAACACTCTGAATATAATTTCTTCCTTTATGATTGAGAATGTACTTTAGGACAAGTTATTTTACTGTAGGAATTACAAAAGGAGTTAAATAAAAGAATAAACTCTGGTTTTATCATATTCATATTTTTGTTAAGCTTCTTTGGTATCCAGTCTAAAAGAATATTTGTACATGCACAGAACAAAATTAAAAGTGAGAGACCTCTAAATATTCATATTTTTTTCTTACAAATAGGATGGAATCAACAGAAAAATGCGAAGCTGTAATTGGTCATTTTAATGGGAAATTCATTAAGACACCGCCAGGAGTTTCTGGTATGTTATTTGTTGTCTAAAATTTTATCAGTAATCTTTTATGTAAGATTTTAGCACATGACGGCTCTTAAGGACAAAATGCTCATTTCCCTTTTTAAAATGTATTCCTTCCTTTCCATTTTACCCCTTTCTGGGTGCTGGATTTGTGAGTATCGACTGTAGCAGTCCCAGTGCTAAAGCGCGGCACCATCCACTTCCCCTGTGCTGTGCAGCAGCTTTAACCGACCCCAGCACCATCCTCAGGAAGCCTCCCATCATTGGGCATTGGGCATCGTGGCACCTTTCCATCCTGGCAGTGCCTGGACCTTTGTGTCCTTTGTGTCCACTCCACATTTGTCATCTTCCCTCATCATTCGGTCTGTGTTGTCATTATCAAGAACACCACACCTCAGGAGCTTTTTCGTGCCAAGGTCACATTCACTTGCCCAGGAAACCTGACCTGAAATAAAAAGAATTCCTTCCATTTTCACTGTTTACTGGTCCTTCTTTACCCATTTCCCATCTCTGCAAAATCTGGTCCCCATTTTTGAGCACTAGAACCATTTCTTTAGTGACAGCTTCAGTTTTCTTCACACCAGCCCTTAGTGACTCCTGCCTAGATTGATCCTGCAGCAGTCTGCTTTCATTTCTCCTGTGACACCTGGCAGCTGCAGTTTGACACCGTGCCAGATTCTGTGTCTTTAGCTTGCCAGGACCTCAGCACCACTGGTCCTTAACTCTGCCCTTCCCTGTTCCCTGCCCAGCTCTAGTTTTCCTTGTCACCAGCCTTTATGGACCCTTAGCTAGATCTGAGCTGGTGACTCCACTTCCCACGTGGTGAACAGAATTGAGATCACCAGGTAGAAATGCTGTCACTGCATCCCCTCAACAAGGGGCCTCACATCTACACTCAGCCTTTCCCCTCTCCTTCCTTGAAGCCTCAAGGACAAGGATTCAAAACCTTTTTTTTGTTCTGCCTGCTAGTGCCTCCCTCTTGTTTAATTTCAGTGTCTTTCGTTTGCTTGCATTCAATTTTTCCCAACAAAATAGAAACTTTTTCAAAGAGTAAAACAGCACATCCTGCAAAGCTTAAATGTTGAGGAAATGAGAGAAAATGTACAAACAATACTAAGAAAAAAATGTGACTGTAACTACAATAGACATTTTTAAAACCATAGAATTCAATGAATATATGAGTTGCATTATGCCTAAAATTTTTAGAAAAAGAGCCCCATTTGTGTTTAAATTCATTCAAGTCTTTGTGATCAAAATTAAAACTAAGCGCTGTTCTTTTCCGACTCCTTCGTCTTCACTTCCTTGTTTCCTATTCACACCCCAGCAGTCTCCAACCTGATACGTTCCCTAGGCCATGCAGTTGACATTTGGTAAACTTACTATATCTGTTTGCTAGGGCAACTGTAACAAAATAGCACAAGCTGTTGTTTAAACAACAGAAATGTAGCAGTTCAGATTCTGGAGGCCACAAGCCCACGATCCAGGTGAAGTTGGTTCCCTCCAGGGGTGTGAGGGAATGGCGTGTTCAGGCCTCTGTGCCTGGCGTGGCAATGGCGTCCTCTCCTGTGCCGTTTTCTCCTCATCTGCCCTCTGTGTGTGTCTGCCTCTGGGTCCAGGTCCCCTTCCCCTACGGACACCAATCTTCGGGATACAGATGCACCCTAAGGGTCTCATTGTATCTTTGAAGACCCTGTCTCTAGACAAGGCCGCATTCTGAGTTATTAGAGGGTTAGAACTTTCACAAACCTTTTGTTTTGGAGGTAGAGAGGGGACAACACAATTGAGCCCGTAACACTTACCTTCTTATTATTGAACCCAGAGACTGTCTTTCTGTGCGGTATCGGATTTATTTAGAACCTGCTTGTCTTTTATTCATTTTTGAATTGTGTTCTCTTATTCCCATTTCTTTTCTTCTTCTTTTTTTTTTTCTTTTTTTTCTTTTTTTTTTTTGGTACTGGGGATCGAACTCGGCCCTCATGCTTGTGAGTCAGGCTCTGGAACCACTGAGCTAAATCCCTAGCCCCCCATTTCTGTTTTTTATTCTTTCTCTTTTGTGGACTAGTTTCTTTGATCTGCTCTTAATTTTTTGGTATTTTCCTGAATTCCATTTTTGGCTCACAATTCTAATAGAATTAATCTATTCTCAAGGCTTCCACTAGTAGTTAAGGTTGCTCAGAGATATTCATCTCTTGCCCTAGCTTTTCCCCCTGAGTATCAGGCTGCCTAGCCTCAGACTCCCTATGTTCATCCTCTCCAAAACTAAATTATACAACCCCCACCTCCCACTCCATCTGACCCTGTCTTCTTCGTCTTGTTTGTGGAACCAGTATCCATCCAGGCCCCTGCACCAGAAAGCGGGGATTGGACTCCCCCAGTCAACTCTGTCTTTTGTCTTTCACATACATAACTATTCAAATCCTTACACTTTTCTTTGTGATCACTTCTGGACTCTCCTCTTTGCCACCATTCCTCCTATCACTTCCCAGTTTCCTCTTATCACTCACTTAGCCCAAGATGATAGCCTCCTGATTTGCCTGCTCTGTCTAGTTTTAAGACCCTCAAGCAGCTCCTGATTGTAGAAAAAGAGATTTACATAAAATATACACCTCTTCTTCACTTTTCTGCTAACAATCACCTTTCCACCTCCAGAAGGAAAGATCTAGGATTCCTAGCATGACATTGAAGGCCGGAAGTGACTGGAGTCTTGCTTCCTTCAATTCTGTCTCTCTCCATTGTCTGCCTTCTTATTTTCCCTTTTCCAGTACTGAACAACAAGTGGTATTCCCAATGCACACGCTGCATCATTTCTTTTTCCTTTCTTTTTCCTTTCTCTGTGGTTTCCAATGGCTTGAGTCCATTCGGTTCTCATTCACCTGGCTGTCTCTGCCTCACGGTACAAGTCTCTGTTCATGGCATGTATTTTCCTTTCAGGGACCTCCTCTGACCCAGTTTGGTTATACTGTGTCTGCAGAGCACCCTGAGGGTGCCTACTGGTATCACAGCACTTACCGTGTTCACATACGTCAATCCCTCTAAACTGGAAGCTCCTAGAAGTCAGAATCTTTTAAATGCATGTCCAACACAGTGCTTGAACTATACTAAGTAACAACCAATGTTTGTTGGCTTTGAATAAATTTTACTACATTATAATACCAAGGCAGGACTATCTCCTAACAAGCTCACATATGGGGGAAAAATTGAAATTCTTTCTGATTGTCAGCCAGCCCCTAGAATGCTGCCTGCCAGCAGGGAGAAAGTCTCAAAATTTAGAAACCACCTCACCTTGCTTTAAAAGAGAGATACTGAGATTGTTAAATGGGCGGTGGGGGGGGAGTCACAACCTCTCCTTTATATCTTCTCTCCCCCATAATTTTAGTCTTACATTGCCTGATATAGAACATCTTCAGTTTTAATTCCCAGTCCATATCTCAATCAGCAAGTCTTTACCAATCCTTCGGTGTTTCATCTAATGGCCCACTTTTCTCCCTATACCTGTGCATATCCTAAGGTTAAATTTGAGGTCTCGCTGTTGGACAGAGGTGGGGGCGGGTCTTTTACTGTGCCACCTGCGTGTGGAGTATTTTAGTGCATCAGCCACATCAACAGGATTTACCCCCAAATAGGCATGCAGGGGAGCAGACATTTGTGCTGACCTCTGAAGTAGACAACTGCCGGGGAGCCCAGGAGAACAAGATCTCCCCATCAGACAAATACAGCCCCCCTCCCTGGTAGTGTGTTCAGCTACCTTCCCAGTTTGTATATTCAAAGATATGTAACCCTGAAGTAAAGGTATCCAGTGCCTTGAACTTCAGTAACATACGGTATTGGTCAAGGCCCACCTCTAGAGCACAGAGGCTGTACAGAACCTGCATCCTGATTTCTTACACCAGGCACCACAAGCAAGCACTGAGGTATTTTGAAGTTACATTAATTCCGGCCAGGAGTCACTGAAGTGAGAGTTGCTCCAAGGCTGTGTGCGTGTGAGTGGTGCTCAGTATTTATCCTCCTGTAGCTTCAGGGTTTCATCCTGCACTGAATGATTGATGATGACGATTAAGGAATCACTTTAATTTTCTGTATCCAGTTGAGTTTCATTTCATAGATGGACTAATTTGTAAGTCTGTGCTGTACCACAGGCTACATTTGATCTTGTAACACTGAAACCCGACAGCACGCTGCTTCTGTGGCTGTATCTGAAGGTGAACTGCATACTGGCACAGTTTTGGAGCATGAAATGTAAGACCTGGAAGGACAATATTCCAAAGGACTCAACCTAATGAGAGAGCTTCCTGTCTGTTTTTTAGGTAGTTTTATTTGCCCACCAGTAGCACTTGAATTGAAAGAAAAGGAAAGAGAAAGGAATATATGTTTTTAGCCTAACCCAAGTGAAGACCAAGGAGCCTTCTGTAAGTGCAACTGGGTTTTCTCGGCTTTTTCTAAGTCATCCTTTGTGTTCTGTGGACCCCAGAGCATGAGGTTCCTTGAAGGGCTGCTTATGACATCTCTTCCTTCTTGGCTTATTCTTACAGGCAGCAAGGAAAATTCAGGAAGAAAAAGCATCCAGGATACCTTTGTTTTGATGTCGTGTTATTCCAAGATAAGATCTTTCGGTTCCCAGGGTGAAGTAGATCTCGGTATAGCAGATTGAGGTTGCACAGTTTCCATTGTTCTCCAGGGGGCTTTATGACTATGTCCTTTGACCGTTGTCTTTGAAGTGAGTTCACAGACTATTGGTCACACCCATTCAAGGGAAGAAAAAAAAAGCAACCCTTGATTTCCAAACCACATGTCAGTGATTGTAAGACCCTCTGCAGCACTGGAGCAAGTACAGAACAGCTTCTTCTGAGTTGTGCCAAGTGACACATGGGGCACAAGAAACAGACAAGTTCCATCTGCATTCTGAGCATTGCTCCAGGGGGTACAATTGGCAGTCAAGTTGTACTCTTAAGTTCTGAATCAATACTTAATTTTGTGCCATTTCTGAACAGTGATCTTTCCTGTGCATT